TTCTGAATGGATAACAATACAGAGAAGAAAACAATTATAAATTTAATATCTAATAAGTATGACAGTGGTTATGAAAAGTCACTTTTCAGACACTGTTTGCCGCTGCCCTGCTAAATGATGTTTTGATAGCTTTGGAAAGGACTAACCCTCTGACCTTTTGGCTACAAGAGAGTGTCTGTACCCAATAATCCAGTGTTTCATTGCTGTGGAGGATTGATTACACTGGGGATTTTTTTTGTGTGCCAAGAGTTCACTGTTCTGTGATCTTGCTGTCTAGCACAGCAGTGTCAGTCACCACCAGTGAACACATAAGGGGGGGAGAGAGAAATGATATCTGGTGAGTGAGGAAGGCTCTGACCTTGTTCCATAATGAGGGGAGCGAACACACACGGCTGACAGAGCCTGGATCATGGACTTGCTATAACCATCACCCTGAGTCTCCTGAATTGGATCAGGTGTGTTCCTGTTAAAACAACAACAACAACAACAAAAACAAAACAGATAACTTTAGAAAGCGTGTCGGGTTTTAATTGCACATGCATTAATACTTTTTTCATTATTTATTGCTCTTGAAGCAAATCCCATTTCTGAGCGATCCATAAAATCCACCAATACCCTTTAAGTGTATGGGTGTCTGCATGGAAACTTGGGTCAGATTATACCAAATGCAGTGATTCTAGCTGAGTGCTATTGGTGATCGCTCCCTGTAAGTCCCGTTCTAACCACCTTCCATGTGTGACCGATTAATGTGCTGGATCTCCTCACAGCGACCCTTATATCTGAATTTCATTTGAGGGTCTTCAAAGCTGTGCAAGATTATTAAAGTATATTAAACTAAATTAAAAACTAAAACTAGATATGGAAAATATTTTAGTTAACTAAAGCAATAAAAATTAATTTAGTGTCAAATTTGTCAACCACGCTGAGCGGGCTCTGGTACTGAAAGGGATGTCTATTGGTCTATTAGACAACACCCTTCACCCTCTTCTTAAATTATGCTTCAATTGATTGCACCTGTTTATCTTATATATCAATCCATCCATCCCCTTCAGCTTATCCGTTTCAGAGTCACCGGGGGACTGGAGCCTATGTCAGGTTGACAGTCTGGCACAGAGCTCAAATGCACTGACATTCACATCTATGGGTAATCTATAGTCACCGATTCAATTCACTTTTACTCTGACAGTGCAAAATAACAACAACAGTCGCTTCTGTTGTTGGGGTGGGGTGGCTGTAGCTCAGGACATAGAGCAGGTCATGAGCAGAGTATCAGGCTTTTTCAGTGGCATCTCCTACATTCACACAATTTAAAATGCACTGCAGCTGAATGAGATTTAAGTGGGTGTTTGTGAACTTACAGCTCCTCATTATTAAGGACACTGAGCAGCTCTTGCACCAGCCCATCACAAGAGAGCGTCTGGTCGCTGACGACGCTGGTGAAGTGTTGCTTGCCTTTCAGCAGTTTCTTCCATGGAGTATCCAGCAGCGAGTTGCTCAAGCCGTAGATTCCTGCTGAGGGGGAACAAGATAAATACAGACAAATTTAAACATTAGCAAGCTCTGCTAGCGTCTTTCTGGTGTGTTCTTCAATCTGAGAGCAATTTCACTGCGGAAATGTCAGACTGACATGAGCCAGCCATAGGCCAGGAGGAAAGGTATGAAAGGTTTCTACAGCAACCATACTAAAAACACAGACCTGGATTTAGATGGATGGGTTCAGGGCTGCCTCTGTTTCCATAGTAACACACAATGTCTTGTTTAGCTCTAGAGAGGACACAGTAAGATGGGAAATTAGACATTTTATGATAATCAAACGTGTTTATGTCTAATTATGACTGTTGTGTCAGGAGTCAGAAGACTTTGAGGCTATTGAAATAAAGCGAAATAGAGCAAAGAGAAAGTTCAAAGGGGCATTCCTCAGGGAAACATGGAAAATGAGCACTGAGGGTGAAAGAGAATAACAAACTGCACCATATAGCATTTTTTTAATGATGCATTTTCTTTGCAGCCCTGGAAAATAGGAATTAAGAAGCCTGTGTTATTGCTGGACGCAATTCAAATGGGAAAGTTAAAATACTATACCACACTAGAACAATTTTGATGTTATCCACAAAGGACAACTGGGTGAAATTAAGGTCTCAAAGTAAAAATTAGTGCTGCAAATACCCTTGACTACCACAAAAGCCATTTAGTTACGGTGTTAGATCTCCTTGCAAAGTCCTCAGTTAGAGGGAATTTATTCAGTCTGCAAAAAATCTATCCGACATCAAGGGCATCTGTCACAGCCTTGGTACAGGAGAGTGAATAATAAATTATGATCGAAGCCTTTGAACCAGTAGTGGAATTCGTTTTTTTGATGTCAGTTTTATGACAGCAATACCAGTGGCATCAGTCAATCTCAAATGTGGTGCAACACTGTTTCAACATCTGACTTGGAAAGTTTCCCAGTTGAGAGCTGGCAAGACAAGGGCACAATATGCTGCTGGGCTTTTACTCTGCAAATACATTTACTAAATAGTTTTAAAAGCCAAAGTACATATTAGACAGCCTTTGGTCTGACCTGTTAGCACCACAAGCTGAGAATATTTGCCATTATTAACAAAGATTTCATGTCACGTTGAGAAAAACAAGTCTATTAATGAATTAGTAAATTGAAAGAACATTATTTTGTAACGGCTTTGACAATCAAATGAGCCTGCTTGGTTTTTCAACAAAAAACCCCCCAAATATTTCAACTGATTACATTTTTCTCAACTTCACTTGCCTGAAAGAAACCATTTCTGATCATTTACAGAATAACCAATTAAAACAGGTCAGTTAAACAATGCTGAAAAATCTCTTACTTGTAGGTGGTTAGTTATGTTTTGCTCTACGGGAACATGAACAATATAATTCACACCCTCATTTCCTCTCTTCATGGACTGCCCAAGATGTTGAGCATTTCCTTCAGATTTAGCGCCATGTTGATCTGATTTACATAATCATCCCCTACATCTGGGGTTCTCAAACTGTGGGTTTGTCTCCACTAGTGGGGCTTAGAGCCTGTGCAGGTGGAATGTGGACAACCAGGAGTCCAGCTAAGTCGAATGAATATGACGTCCCACGGGAAAATAAACAGAAGCTTGCCAATGCTATCAGCCTGACATTTAGGTAATAATTGATTTTAAAAACAAAAACATGCTTGTCGGACATGCCAGCCTCAGTGGAACAGAAGATCCATCAGAACAGGCTTGGTTTTCCAATCTTCAAATGTCCATTTTTGATGGGGCTGTGTGCCTGCAAAATCAGATATTTTTGTTTTTTAGGGTTTTTAAGTTAGCTCAAACAAGTCTGAAAGGAGTAAGGACTCAAAGCTGACTGCTTCAAAAAAGGTGTAAATACTGCGCTTATGTTCCTCCTACATATGAACTAAAATTTTAGTTTATGGTGTTAACTTTCTTATTAAAGTCAATAAAAATGATAAATTCCCCAATAACTTAGTTTGACATGATGATGTGGTGAAAAGCATTGTCTTAAGTCAGGCTGGGTACACAAACATAATGGTGTAAGACAGGGGTGGGTAGCTCCAGGCCTTGAGGGTCGGTGTCCTGCAGGTTTTAGATATCACCTGGGTCAACACACCCGAATTAAATGATTAGTTCATTACCAGGCCTCTGGAGAACTACAAGACATGCTGAGGAGGTAATTTAGCCATTTGAATCAGCTGTGTTGGATCAAGGACACATCTAAAACCTGCAGGACACCGGCCCTCGAGGCCTGGAGTTGCCGACCTCATCCGAATGCTCATCGAGGCGATCGTTGGCTCAAGAGTTGGGAGTTCGCCTTGCAATCGGAAGGTTGCCGGTTCGAGCCCCGGCTCGGACAGTCTCAGTCGTTGTGTCCTTGGGCAAGACACTTCACCTACCGCCTACTGGTGTGGGCCAGAAGGGCCAATGGCACGATATGGCAGCCTCGCTTCTGTCAGTCTGCCCCAGGGCAGCTGTGGCTACAACTGTAGCTTGCCTCCACCAGTGTGTGAATGGGTGGATGGTGTGTAAAGCGCTTTGGGGGACTAGTAAAAGCGCTATACAAATACAGGCCATTTACCATTTATAATCTTGCTTGTATTAAATGTATATCGCATTGTGGTGGGGCGTGGACGCGGTGCTGGGCGGACGCACCTGCACGGCATCCGCAATCATGCCCACCGGGGAATTGAGGTTGTTGTGGTGTTGTATTGTGGTGTGATATATGTGCGTCTGGCAGCTGCGGTCAATAAGGATGGCTAAAAACTGATGTATGGACCTGCCGTGTCTCATTCACACCACACACAAATATCGCAGAAAAATATGCATCTCTTTTAAACCTCAGAACTGAGCATGGTTTCTTAAACCAACAACTATAAACACATCAGCACTGGCCAATATTCACTCAAGGCAAAAGCAGTGACCGCTCATCCAAGCACGCACATGGTAGCCAGTCAATGAGAACCAGATGGCACTGTAACCTGAGAGAGAAGCCTTTATTTGTCTGCTCTGCAAAAATGAAATTGTCTGAACTAGTATTTTGTCTTGGTATTGAGGTCTTCACTCAACAATACCTCAACAGCCTGGCTCTATCTACACACTTTGCGTGTGATATCAAATCAAATTGACCATGGTGGCAGCAGGTGGAGGATTTATGGAGAGAGAGTTCCATTTGTGCTGTTTGAAACTGGCTAAAATGTTGAAAGTCCCATCAGGTGTGCCGTGGGTTTATTTGGGCTGAGATGAGGGAACAGCAGGAGGTCGGGACCATCGGGCAGAGCGAGAACAAAGAGGGAAGAGTCAAAAACAGGCTTTTTCAGATCTCAGTCAGAGAGTTAATCAGTATGCTAGCTGAGAAGTGTTCCAATGAAGAGTCCTCTATATTGAGGCTGCAGAGCATCACCAGCTGTAGTGTAGTTGGCTGAGATGGTTGAGTGAGCTTTCAAGAAATTCAGGTAATTTTTGAGGGAAAAAAATAATCATAGCAGACAGAAACTTTGGGATTTATCAGCAAATCATTGAATAGGACGTGTTCCTACATCTCGCCTAGTCACCATCAGTGATTCCAACTTTGGCTTTGGCAATATGTTTCTGTAAAAATGCAAGGAACTATTTCTAGTCAGTCTGATGGCACCATGTTGATTGAAAAGAGATACATGACAGATGTAGTTCTTAGTAAAACATTCATATACTGTATGGAAACATGGAACTTCAAATATTTATATTATACCAGTGATGTATTGTAATTCAGACCTCCCATCTGATAGAAAAAGGCTGTGCATACAACCATGCAAACAATCAGAGAGCAAAAATTAACATCATTTAAATTTGTATGGCAATTTTTAGACATCTGGAGTGAATCATGCAGTGCTATTTATTATAATCCACTCAGGAGAATCTCATCTTCTGTTCTTCTAAAACAGAATATGATTTCCCAAGAGGCGATGTTACAAGCACTTTGGAGAGAAGAAAAACAAATCCTCACAGTACAGTTTCTTTAAAATGTTGAGAGTTCATCCGCCCCTGATACTGTGGAATGTGCGTATCTGCTGCCCCGCTGTGTTTCTTTTTGAGCCCGAACAAGTTTCTGCCAAGAATTACAACACAGGGTTTGAGGCAATAAGATCGAACCACTTTCTAAAGTTGTTTTTTTTTTTTTTAAACAGCCAAACTGAAAGTGCATTAGGGAGGCATTTCTTTGCGGGCAAACATCACAGCACATATTTAATAAAATGGATAATCTCTGGGCATTGACTTTAAAGCAAGAGCGACTTAAAGTGGGATCAAAAACCAGAGCTATAGACAAGTCAGATGAAGTGTTGGATATGGAGCCTCGAGAGCATCAAGCTGAGAATATCTGAGTCAGATCAAAATTTAAATATATATGGCATTAGCTTCACGACTGTGAGGCCCAGTAGACATTTCTTTAAATGCAAGGCTGCCACAGACCAAATTATTCATGCACAATCCAATCCAACATGATTAAAGAATATTCCTGGTGAGACTTCTCCATTAATAAGCAGCAATAAATAAATTATCAAATAGTTTGTATGTTAAGTGTACAGTTTTGCTCTCATGTATCTGTAAAGAGTGATGAGACTTACACAAAGAAGGTGGCACATCTTGACCCCACTGCCACCAGTCGCCACATCGTAAATCATGCCTGTGCTTACAGATGAAACCAAAAGCCTCTAATTGTCATGTAAAGCTACAGTCAATCCACCAGCAGTTATTGATTCGGAAAGAAACCAAACGCCTTATTTCCTCAGGGCAGCTGGGCACATTGCAGTGGATAACAAACAGGCTGGTAATGATGGTGCTTACTAAAAAATATGAAGCTTGTTTTTTGTCACTGCTTATCATCTCTATCTGCAGTGAAAGTGACTCCCATCAGACAGGCATCTGAGGGGGGGGAAAACATGGCATATTTTGACTTAATAAGGCTCTGCTGACAGTTTTTAGTCCAGACAAAGCAGACATGAAGCATTATCACATCATGAACATGCAGTTACAGTCTGCTGCTCCCTCTTGAGTGTGGGGTAGTGTGAGTGTAATAAAAGAGGAATTCCTCCAGGGTTGTGCATGTGTAACTGCTGCCCCTGGTTTTAACAGGGACATCTGCATATTCTGAGCTGATCAAAAATAGCAGCTAAGCCACCTAGATAATGTCATACGGTTGCCCCTAGGTTAAAAAAAGAAAAAGGAAAAAAAGCTTTCAAAGGCTCAGATGATACCGACACTTCTGAAAATAAAGCTCCAAGTAGCTGACTTTTTGTGCAGGTATACACAAGTATATACACAGACCTTTAAGAATAAATGTTTGTTTGGAATCTCACATGTGCGTATTTCACTCGGTTCAGTGGTACGCTGAACTCTTGTGGCTTTCTTCACAGTTTGAGGTGCAAAGTCTGCTGAGATTGGGAAATCTAGTCTCTCAGATGCAAAATACTTTAAAAAAATGATGTGAAAATTATTAGCGTGAGAAGCAAAAAAGGTCTAGCTAACTATATTTAAAGTGAACCAGAGTTGCAGTATACTTTAAAGCTCAGCAGCCAAACAGCACGATAGGAGTCCCACGGTAACTCATATGATGCTTTCACAGAATGTAGCCTAATATATTGATGGTACTGAGACACAGTGAATCTCAGTATAGTGCAAACAATCTAAAATACATCACTTTGTGCATTGTCGTGCCAATGTGTGCTACTATTATTATGCCATTTTAAAAATGAATACACCACGATCACAAATGTAGGAGTGACATTGGTTTCTGCATGTGGTAAATATATATTGATCAAAAATGTTGATATTTGGCAGAACTGTATTCATAATTCATATAAAATATTGCCCTATAAATAAGCTTAGCTTTGAATGAGCCACTACATTACAGAGATATGTTTAAGTCTTTCAGTTGTATTGCTGAAACTTGCAATACCAAAGCCACAGAAGATGTTTCCAACCTACAATACGGTTTCAAAAAGTAGCACCTTATCCATTATATTGGAGTTGGTAGAAATTATTAGGTGGCAAAGAAAATAATATGAAAAACAAAATATTTCTCTATCCTGAAAGCTCTTTTGGGGATAACAAACTACTTCAGGCTATGTTAAGAGGAGGAAAAGTCCACTTTTTCTTCTCCAACAGAGATACAACTTTTAACCTCTGAACTCTCCTTTCCCCCGCTTTCCTTTGGGCAGGTGCAGTCATAATGTTATCAGCAGGAGAGCTGGCTGTACTCCCGTCAGGAGCGGTTTCTCTACCATCAGCAGCACAGCATCAAGCGTCAACACTTTATAGCAAACTTTTTATGTTACACATTTTTGTAATTTCAGGTAATATTGCCTTTACATCAGCTACACTATGCTCCAGCTCCCTAAGACAACAGTATGGCTTCACTATATTGCAGCTCTCTACATGGGCCGACAACCTGACAGCTATCCGAGTGTGCACTGAGCCCATTTTCTTTCTTTTCTATGCTTATCATCAAATTCAGTCAAGTCAGGCTTGTGAAGCACATGGGAGGGGAAAAAGCCTTCGTTATTTTTTATGCTGTCTAGAGTTTCTTTGTTTATAACCCTGAAATATGAACAGGTGTTCCTTTGGAATTTTAATGCTGGCTCGTTCGCAGCTCAGTGTCTTTTCAGTTCTGCCTGGCTGGCACTCCAAAGATGAAGATGTTGCTTTTGTGGTTTTCTTTCCGTGGTAAGGCCAAAATTCAGAGGAACAAAGTTAAAGCCCAGTAAAAAAAACAAACAAAAAAACAAAAAAAAAAAACAGAGACTCCTTTACTGTTTAGATTGTGAGAAGACACACATTATACAGCCTAGTGTGGCTATTTTGCATATTTCTTCTCACTCTGGAAAATATTTCATCTTATGAAATGCAACAGTGGATAGCGTCTGTTTTTAAATGTTAGTGTAAACATCCACATGATGGATATACTTATTTGAATCAGCTTTATCAGTGCATAGAAAATATGCAGATGGATTTCACAACACGTTTTACTCACTTGAACTCAGCTGTGATGAGGTTAAACCCATTGTACAGGTGGCCTTCTGACGACACCTTCTTCAGGTAGGAGTAGCTGTCCTGATCCTTGTCCATTAAATAGTGAGACACTAGAAATCCTGCAAATTAGCAAACGTAATAAGAAATGTATGTAATGTATGTGTACTACTTATTCCTTAGAATCAGTTATATTATCACATGGATTCTAGACACTGAGGCTGTAAAGGGGCACTTGGGACATTTTCATGGCTGATTACCTCGTCCTTGTGCATCAGGGTTAGGACGTCCCTCCATGTAGTTGGTGATGGCAGCCAGCTTGCCCCTCTTGCTGATCCCCAGCCATGACCCCCCTTCCTTCCCTAGCTCCAAGTCCAGACCTGATAAACACAGAGTTACAATATATTTTTAAAAAGAGAGAGGCATCAGACCTCACATGAAAAGAGTATGACTCGATTTTAACGGATAATAACAGAGATTCTTCAGTATACCCTGCTTCTTTTGCATGCCAGTTTTCCTTAACAAGAACAAATGATGGGTAACGAATGATTAACTCAAGAAAGAACTAGGTCATTTGTCACTAATCATATGGCAAACAGACTTTTTAATTATTCACTGCAGCTAAGTGCTAGTTTGAGAAAAAACACATAAATTCATGCAATATGCAAAAGATGTGAAAGGAAAAGAATTCAACAGTTAGAAAAATGTTAATAAATAATAAAAAGAGAAAAAAGAATAAATAATTAGTAATGGAAATTTGAAGTTTCTCTGATATTAGTAGCAAATATATATTACATATTATTTTTGAAATGGTCTTATTATGCTTTTACCTATTTGACATCATGCTGTATGCACAAATGTTAAAAATGTGGATATTAAAAGTAGACAAAGTTTCAAAACGTCAGTGTGTGTGTGTGTGGTCATAGTTCTATATGTAGTGGATATCCCAAATATGACCATTTTAGGCACACAGCTCTGGCTGTGAACACAGGAGCCCCGCCCCCCAACTGTGCAAAACCTTCTGTTTGGAAGAAACTGCCAATCAAAAGAAATTAGGTTTGAAGGGAGAGCAGTCTCAAAGGGAGAGAGGCTTAAATAGCTTGTTTCATATAGTAGATAGACTGAGTGGCAGTAAGAAATCTAGTCCACATTAAGATGCACAAATAGAAAATATTTTTTTCTGTGTCACTGACATCACAATCAGAGGAAGTATAAAACTTATATAACCTTCAAGATGTTGTCCAATTGGAATGAAATCTCATAAGAGTGATGGCAGGAATTATTTTAGTCCATCAGTAAATGAATGTTTTCTTTCTACATCCCTCTCCTCCAGTTGACACAAAGAATGTCAGGCCCTGCAAATTTGCAGCACTTCCTGGTGATCAATAAAGACAGGTCCACTTATACAGTCAGTGACCTCGAGAGCCAAATGGTCTAATTCCTCTGAGGGTGGATGGAAAGCTAGCTAAATTCCACTGGGACCAATAGCTTACTTTCCTTCTCGCCATGCTACGTCTCCTTCAGGGCCCTACTGCTACCCACCCACCACACTCACGCCCCGTTCATCCCCCAGCCCTGCAGATAAGACAGAGCCATTTATTCCTGTCACATTGCATAAAAACAGCCATCAATTAAGAACCCACTAGTCGAGTTCTGACCCCTCTATTACAAAGGGGAGAGGAGACTGGCGAACAACGAGGATATGGCACCATTTCTTCCCTCAGCAGAAAAACAGAAGACTGATTTTTTCTGATTAGCCATAATGTGTATTGAACATCAGTCAATTAAATGTAGTTTGCTGTGGGTGGGGATGTTCTGCGATGGATTTTTGAGGTGAAGGAAAGGGATTTTTCCTTGATTAATGAAAGCTCTTCATTCTTACAGGTAAAGTTTGTTAAGCAGTACTAAAAAGCCAACCAACCTTGCATATATTAATCAAAATAAGCAATTAAATTCTAACAGACACGTGTACACAAAACATACAAGAAAGTTTTTCACTAATTTGTGTTAGCTTTAAAAATTACTGCTGTTTAGTGAAAAGCTTGACTGGTGGTCTCAAGTGTATATGTACAGGCTTACCACTGAGGATCTCATTGCTGGCCCCCCAGAAGTCTGCAGCTTTGGATGGCCTGTTGTAGAACTCATCTCTGTTTGCAGCCAAAATTAGCCTGAGAACATAACAGGTTAAAACTTGTAAAGGGGGCTCAGCCCCCAATCATAATGCCATGCATACAATGCCTTTACAATACAATTACAACATTGCATTACAATGTTAAAAAGCAATTCATTTAATTGGATGACCTGTTGTAGTGCCTAAGAACCACCCTGCCACTCCATACACCTGGACAAGATGCAAACTAGAAATAGAGCTGTTTTCTCACCTAACCTCATTACCTGCCCATTTGCTCACCTGGTTCTTCGTGCTCCTATACAGTCTCTCTATCATCTCTCTGTCCAACCTCCTGGACTGACAATCGCACACAAATGCATGGTATTCAACATAACATAACATAACATAACATAACATAACATAACATAACATAACATAACATAACATAACATAACATAACATAACATAACATAACATAACAT